GACCACAACATGATCTCCCAGTTCGTCGGCGAATTCGAGCGGGTTCGGAGCTTGAAGTTGAACTCCAATCCTATAACCAAGTTCGAGATAACAGGCCCTGTGCCGACTCTCAAAATGCTTAACCTGTCAAGCGCTCAGCTTGCTAGCATCGACGGCTCGTTCAACAACATGGTGAATCTGGAAAGACTTGTTCTAGACCGCAACTACTTCGTATCCCTTCCCAATACCATCGGTAACTTGCGAAGGTTAGAGCATTTCAGTATAGCCCACAACTCGGTCGGCGAACTACCACCGGAAATTGGCTGTCTGAGTGAACTGAGGGTTTTGGATGTCAGAGGGAACAACATCAGGAAGTTACCGATGGACTTGTGGTGGGCAAATCGGTTGGAAACCCTCAATGCCTCGTCGAATGTGCTTGAAAACTTCCCGAAGCCGGCATCGCGTCCACCTCAGATGCCTGGGGAGTCATCAGGTCCGCCCACTCCCATGAACAAGCCACCTACCGGACCGCTCTCTCAGGCGTCTAGCTCCGAGGAACTTATGCCCGACGGGTCACGTCGGCCTAGCCAGGCTTCGAGCACGTTGCTCAGCGTCGGACCATCCCCTGTCCCCTCCGGGCCGGACCGAAAAAGCTCTGTCGTGTCGGTTTATGGAAAGGGGGGACGTAAGACTTCGGTAGTGTCACGAAGCACGACGGCTAGCAGTGCCAACGGGACTCCAACCCCGGCCCCGTCGACAAGAAAAGACTCCGGACTCTCCAGCCGGATGACCAACACGTTTGCTGGCTCACTGAAGAATCTATACCTTGCCGATAACCAGCTAGATGACGACGTATTTGACCAGATCACACTCTTGGCCGAGTTGCGAACCCTCAATTTATCATATAACGACCTGAGCGACATGCCACAGCGCTGCATTAAAAACTGGCCTCAGCTCGTAGAGCTCTACCTCTCGGGCAATGACCTGACCAGTTTACCGGTGGATGACCTAGAGGAGTACAGCTTGCTTCAGGTGCTGCACATCAACAACAACAAGTTCACAAACCTTCCTGCGGATATATCACGAGCAAAGAAGTTGGCCGTCCTGGATTGCGGAAACAATTCGCTCAAATACAACATTTCAAACGTGCCGTACGATTGGAATTGGAATCTGAACCCGAACCTGCGCTTCCTCAATCTGTCTGGAAACAAGCGATTGGAAATCAAGCAATCGAATCTTGGTCTGGGCTCGCAACATCGCGAGCAGTACACCGATTTCAACCGGCTGTTGAATCTCCGGGTCCTTGGGTTGATGGATGTCACCCTTACCCAGCCCAGCATTCCTGACCAGAGCGAGGATCGCCGTGTCAGAACTTCGGGTTCACTAGCGGGTCACCTACCGTACGGAATGGCCGACACGCTGGGCAGAAACGAGCATTTGTCTACCGTTGACCTAGTCGTTCCGCGCTTCAACTCGTCGGATTCGGAGACCCTCTTGGGCCTGTTCGACGGCCAAGCTCTATCTAGCGGTGGCTCTAAGATCGCCAAGTACCTGCACGAGAATTTTGGGCATATATTCTCCACTGAACTAAAGGCCCTCAAGACACGGCAGGGTGAAACTCCCATTGATGCACTTAGACGCGCATTCCTCTCACTCAACAAGGACCTTGTCACGGTAGCTATCGAGCATACCGAGAAGCGACCACTCATGAATCATCGCGGCTCGTCAGCCCACGTGGTCCTGAGTAAGGAAGATCTTAACTCCGGAGGAGTTGCCACGATCGCGTACCTCCAAGCCCAGGAACTATACGTTGCAAATGTGGGCGACGCACAGGCCATGCTCATCCAATCCGATGGCACGCATAGGATTCTCACCCGCAAGCATGACCCGGCAGAGCCAAGTGAGCGTCAACGAGTACGGGATGCCGGAGGCTGGGTTTCACGCCAAGGCAGGCTGAACGACCAACTAGAAGTCTCTCGTGCTTTTGGCTATGTTGATCTGATGCCGGCTGTGCAGGCAGCTCCGAATATCACTCAGATCTCCATCACGCCACAGGACGAAACGATATTGATCGCGACAAAGGAGCTATGGCAGTATCTAGCACCTGGCTTGGTAGTCGACGTTACGCGGTCCGAACGAGGTGATCTCATGCGCGCTGCACATAAGCTGCGTGACTTGGCAATAGCCTATGGCGCGACTGGAAAAATAATGATTATGATGATCAGCGTCGCCGATCTGAAGCGCCGTCAGGAACGGTCTGCTCGTTTGCATAGAGGACAGAGTATGTCATTGTACCCATCAGGGGTACCGGACGAATTCCAGTATCCGGCCAAGCGAGGCAGGAGACCCAAGGGTGAGGTGCAAGACTCGACACTACACAGGCTAGAAGCCGAAGTTCCTGCTCCCATCGACAAGCCGTCAATCGTGTTCACCGATATCAAGAACTCAACCAACCTATGGGAGATGTATCCCTCAGCTATGCGGTCAGCGATCAAACTTCACAACGAGGTGATGCGGCGGCAGCTTCGAAGAATCGGCGGCTACGAAGTCAAGACGGAAGGTGACGCATTTATGGTCTCCTTCCCCACAGCCACGGCGGCGCTGTTGTGGTGTTTTGCCGTTCAGACGCAGCTGCTCAGTATAGATTGGCCCTCGGAGATCCTCAACTCCGTTTCTTGTCAAGAGGTGTACGACAAAGACAACAACCTCATCTTCAGGGGCTTGTCGGTCAGAATGGGCATTCATTTCGGCGAGCCAGTAGCCGAAATTGATCCAGTGACACGTCGAATGGACTACTTTGGGCCGATGGTGAACAAGGCGTCGCGTATCTCGTCAGTTGCTGACGGGGGTCAGATCACCGTGTCTGCGGATTTCATCTCGGAGATCCAGCGGTACTTGGAGACGTACCAAGAAAACGAGCGGACGGGACCGGCGGTTACCGAAGATACGTTCGAGGATGACGTGACATCGTCGGCGATTAGGAGAGAACTAAAGTCACTCAGCTCACAAGGGTTCGAAGTCAAGGACATGGGAGAGAGGAAACTCAAGGGCCTCGAAAATCCCGAGTATATCTACTCGTTGTACCCGCATGTCCTCGTCGGCCGCATCGAGCACCACAACAACGCGGCTACGGCAATCGAAGTGGCCGAGAAGCCTGCTACGCTACCGTCGGAAGGCGATCTAGGTTTCGATCCAGAGATGATCTGGTCATTATGGAAAGTGAGCCTGCGCTTAGAGATGCTCTGTAGCTCGCTGGAGCAGATGTCCGGAAGGGGCCTGCAGCCTCCCGAGACGGAGCTCCTTGAGCGTATGAAACAACGTGGCGGCGAGATGACGGAACGGTTCCTATTCAACTTCATGGAGCACCAAGTAAGCCGCATAGAGGTAAGAAGACTACTCAAGCTCAGATGCATCGTGGCTATGTTGACTAACATATCAAAAGACTTGCGTATCCACGATTTCCATGCGTCATATTGCCATGGGTGGAGGTCCGATCCAGTCGCTAGACGATCTTCGAACACCGATGGCCGTCGTCCTTGATAACCTAGCCGTCCAGCTGGCTGAGCTCGAGCGGTACAAGGCCAAATATGGCGACCTCGTCACTACGGATGGCGAAGACGATGATAGTAGCATCGGCTAAACGAAGTAACCCAATCCGGTCAGCCTTTTTGGATCACACTTGGATCACACTTGGATCACCATCGATTTCCCCCTCGCATACCTCCACGTCAATATAGTATATTAACCTGAAATTCCTGATTTGCTTTCCGAGGCACTTCCCATACGCTTACTCGAGGGGCCGCGAACAGCATCCTCTTATTATACCTACTACCCACACTTGTAATGTGTCACGAAGATGTCTCTTACGAATACCTGCGGGAGGCGAGGCTGCTTTCTTGTTTCTTTCTTTTTTTCAAGCTACGGCTGGCTGGCTGGTTGGATGGGCGGTTGACTGACTGAAATGCGTTGGGCAACGGCGTCGTGCGAGGAAATCGACGGAGGTGGTCGGATAAAGGAGAGGAAAAAGCCAACCCTCTCTCTTTCGCTATATCTTTTTTTTGGTTGCCATTGGGTACAGTACAGTGGACGGGATAGCCCTGTTATGTTTTTATCTTTATTGGAGCATATCAACTCCCCCCAAAAGCGCTGTCTATTAGACGTGAAGGAGGGACTCGTTCATGACGATATCTTGGGCATGGGTGCCGTGGACATTAATCGGATCTATGTCCTTCCTTGTCTTTTTGCTTCTGCACTTGTTGTTTGACATAATTAAGCTCTTCATGTGCTACTGTATAACACGCGCAGCAGAAAACACTACCAAATAGCGGCGCTCTCCTGTATTTCTGGCAAAGGTAGGAGAGGGACAGAAGGGAACAACAGTTTCGAATTTTGAGCAGTTTTTTTAACGGAGGAAGGAAAAAGGGGTTGATTCCCTTGTTCGTCTTCTTTCTTTGCTTTTATTTTTATGTATTTCGTCTGTACCTGTCAAAAAGGTCGTTGCAGGATAAGCGACAGGCGTGTTCGCAGAACAGAGAAGCAACGGGCTTGCTGGCTACAGGCGTCATTTATCATGTGGTAGGAGGTAGGATACCTTAGCTAGGACGATTCAAAAAAAGGCGAAAAGTGCCCTTGAAGATAACAATATGTGCGTGTCTAGTGTGTGTATACCTCTAAAAAGGTAGGTCAGGTAGACAGGCACGGAACTGTTCCCGTCTGTTGGCTATAGTGGTAAGGTATGAAAGGCTGATCGAGCCCTACTAGTAGCGACATAACCGCTCCTAAGCTTGACTACCTAGGTACTTAATAATGGATGTTGTTTTCCACTTCTTTATCTACACCAGCTCACTTGTGAACATAACTATCGTGTACAATGACGTGTAATGTGTGAAACAGGACGGCGTGTTTGTAAACCGAGTGAGAGGGCAAACGGAAAGAGAGGCACCCACCCAGTCTACTTCTAGACCGGTCGAGGTTTAGGAAAGCAAGAGCAAAAAAAAAAAAAAAAAAAAAAAAAAAAACTTTACATCCACCGGGATTCGCACCCGGGTCTCTTCCCTCCCTAGCTGCCTCTGGGCAAGCAGACTAGGCAGGAGGGAAACGCGTTATACTGCTACGCCATGGACGCCTTGTGGTTCTCTGGAGATACCGAGGCGAGTCTACAAGGACACCACCCCTTATGATCGAACTGTTGTTAATTTCCTTTAAGTCTTCTGTTCGTAGTCAGATCTACGTTTGGTGTTTAGCGGCCTTAGCATGTTTGCTACTAGATGGGCACGTCATGCGGGTAAGGACAGCAGCACCCGGGTTGGAAGAAGGCTGGCAGTCTCCAAGAGCCACGCGAGTTCACGGTTTGCGAGCAGGCTGTGGCATGAGAAAGCACAGAAAAATACAGAGACACGGGGTCACGAACACACAAGAGCACAAGAATTTAGCAACCATATAACTCTCCTCTATCTTCTAGATCCTAAGATATTTAATGAATGGTGCTATGCGGACTTGATTCGAGCTCAACGACACAAAAACCGACGAGAAAAGCATTTGCTGTGCGAAAGCTGTGTGAGGGGGGGTATAATAATCCAACTTAATCATGACCATTTTCTTTCGTTTCGAATCAAAGTAAAAATAAAGACAAATTCCAAACATCAAAGAGCAGCAACCCCCAACATGTACGTGATAGATATTCAATATCACATACCCTCTCATCCAATCGGGTAGAACGTCTTTGCTTGGGGACGCCCATCTTGGATATGGAGTGCTAGATGAGTGGTTAGATGGGATATCCGACGCATCCAATCCCGTATTCTTCGTTACTCGATTGCTTGCTTCCGCATCCCCCATCCCGCTCAGCCTTGCCACGTCAGTCCCACACGCAGCTGCAAGACGCGACCAACGGCATGTTGTGCATGCCGAGCGACGCAATCACAGTAAACCGGTGACCCCTCCTATGCTAGGGTAATCCAATGATATATAGAAATCGTACACGCCGGTCCAAGAACCATGGCGGGGATAAAACGAACAATGCCTCCAAGAGGTGGCTTAGGGATAAGGCTCCTAAAAAGGTGTATAACAGCCTTGAAGCACTTCAACGGAACAAAACCACCCAAGATGACGGTTTAAAATCTCGATCCGCCCGTGATCTTGCTCCACCAGCTGCTTCGGGGCGTCGACTCTGCGAACGGGGGTTCGCGAGCCGCCGATTCGCGGGGCCCGCTAGCCCTGCCGCTACCGTCTGAGCCACCGGTATGGCGATCTCGACGGTCGCGCTCCTCTCGCCGATCCCGTTCGTCCCGTCGATCCCGCTCCTCACGTCGCGCCCGGCGGCGACGCTTGTCCTCGTCCACGTCGGGCTCGACATCACCGTACTTCGCACGACGGCGAGCAGCCCGACGCGCGGCGCGGCGAGCCTCTTCGTCATCCTCCGGTGGCGGGGCGTCGGTAGAGGGGCCATCTTCGGGAGGCGGTCCGGCGTCTGAATGTTCCTTCACCCACGAGTCCGTACCCGAGTGAGGCCAGGCAGCGGCGGTCTTGCTTCGCTTGTGAGCACGATCATATACTGCAGGTCGCGAGGTCCGTTCTGGAGGATAGGCATATTCGTCAACCGGCATTGAACGTCTCCGGTTTGCCTTCTCTTCAGCACGTCTAGCTTCGTGTCTGCGACGTCTGCGTTCGTCTTCGTTCTCCTCCACGTCCGCATAACGAGAGCGTCGTCGATCAGCACGCGCGGCGTGTCGAGCTTCTGCTTCCGCTTCCGCTTCTGCGGCTGCAGCTTCCTTTTCGAGCTTGCGAAGCCGGCGCCGTTCCGCTCTCTCGGCCTCCCTAGTTTCGGCAGCGATACGTTCCGCCTCTCGCTCGCGGGCAGCTCGACGTTCGGCGCGCCGGGCCTCGCGGTCGGCTTGTCTGCGCGCCTCTTCCTCTTCCTCGTGTCTCCTGCGCCGCTCGCGACGAGCTTCCTCTTTCGCCTCTCTCGCAAGACGCGCCTCTTCGGCTGCCCTTTCTTCTGCCTTTCTCGCACGTCGAGCCGCGCGACGAGCTTCTCTCTCCTCGTCTACAGCTTCCACGTCGACGTCGCGAGCATCTCGCGAAGACCGCTTCGCCCGCCTATCTGGTCGAGATTCATCCTCCGTCGTGTAGTACGTGTTGCGACGACGCGGTTCAGGGCGCATTTCAGGGCGCATTTCGGAGCGCGGGGTCGAGTTCGACGACATAAGTCCTCCAAATAGGCCGGAAATACCTTTCTTGGCACTCGAGTTCGATCGCTTGAGAGGTGGTACATCGGCGGGTATATCTTCATCAACCATGACAATGTCGTCCTCGTACTTAGGCTGCGCCAGGTCAGCCATAACATTTCTCCTATGAGGATGCGCACCTACCTTTGTTCTCCTGCGAGCCGGTTTCTGAGGGCTCCGAGGAGCGTCGCTAGCCCCTCCGGCCATGACGACATCCTCGTCTTCGTAGGCTGGAGCTGCGGAACTCTTGCGACTGCGACCCTTGTCAACACCGAAGATCTTGGCGGCTTTTGCGGACATGGGCGGCATATCCTCGGGCGGCGGTGATGCGAGGCCGCCCGACATGTCAACAGAATGGCGACGCGAACTTGACTTGCTTGCGCCGTGCCGCTTGTCGCGCGTCGACATGGAGCGCGAGATAGGTGGCGTGCTCTGGAATAGACTGTTCTTGCGCGCCGCCTTAGGAGGGGTCGATGCCTTCTTCTCCCGGTGTTCTCGCTCCTCGACCCTGTCCCTATCTGATGTCGAGCCCTTAGATGACGATGGCTTCTCCTCCCTTTCCCTCCGGGATTTCTTCTCCTCGGACCTTGGCTTGGATCTCTTCTCTTCTTTGCGAGGCGTCGCCCCCCACGCTCCCCACGACGAGCCTGCATCGCGATTGACCTTCGGTCGGTCTTTCTTGGACGGCTTGACCTCGGGAGGTGGTGTCGGGGGCGAGTCGGGGACGGCCGGGGGTGGTACAGGGGCTTCGGGAGGCGGAGGTGGGGTGACGATCTCAGGCAGCGGCGGGGGCACCTCTACCACAGCCTTATTCTTGCTCTTCTTGCTCTTCTTTTTCTTCTCTACCGGCGCCATGTCAACAATTTCGACGATCTCATTCTCGTCTTCGGGGAAAGCGCCGGGAAGGTCGGCAGGTTCTGCGACAGGAGCAGGTGGCGGTGGCGGTGGAGGGGCGGCAAGCCCGTCGATCAGGTCGTCTTCGTCGTCGTCTATGCGCTCAAACTTCTTTAGCTTATCGGCAAGCTTACTCTTCTTGGACTTGGACTTCTTCGGCTTCGTCCACTCGTCGTCGACGATGTCCTTGGAAGAGGATGCGGCGTCTTGCGCGTCGGTCGCGTCCTCGACCGTGGCTTCTTCGAGAACCTTGTATGAGTCAGCATGGCTAATCTCGGCTGCTCCCGATGTCTTGGAGCTGCTTACCGGTTCTGGTTCTGGTTCGGGCGCTGGGCTTCTGGGCTTAGCGCCCCAGAACGAGAACGCATCCGGCTTAGACTGCGTAGGAGGCGGCGGAGCGGGCTTAGGGGCTGCAAATCCCGAGAGCAGCTCGTCGATCTGCTCGGGTGCCAGATCGATATTGTCGAGATCGAGGTCATCGTCGCCGTCTTTTGGCTTTTCCTCCTCTACGTCTGGCTCTTCTTCGACTACCATTTCCTTGGCCTTCTCCTTCTCCTTCTCTTTTTCCTTCTCCCTCTCCCTTTCCCTCTCTTTCTTAGACAACTTGTCCTTGCTGCTAGATTTGGACTTCTTGTCCTCCGACTTCGAGCTCTTCTTTGACTTCTTCTTGGCCGCTGCTTCAGCCTCTTCGCGCTCGCGCCGAGCTTGTTCTTCAGCTTCGGCTTCAGCTTCTCGTGCCGCCTGCTCTTCAGCCTTCCGTGCTTCTCGCTCTTCGGCTTCCCGCGCCGCCTCCGCTTCAGCTTCCCGCGCTGCCTCCTCTTCGGCTTCTCGGGCTGCCTGCTCCTCAGCCTCTCGGGCCGCTTGCTCCTCAGCTTCCTTAGCTGCCTGTTCGTCAGCCTCCTGTTGCGCGAGCAAGTCTTCGTCCGGGTCGGCCGCGTCTTCGGCATCCTTGGCCAATTGCTCTTCGGCGCGGGCTTGAGCCCTCTCCGTAAGCTCATCGAATCTCCTTTGCGCTGTCTTGGTCAGCTTCTTCCTCTCACGCTTCGCTGCCAGCTGAGCAAGTTCGGCTTCCTCGGCGGCGATTTCAGCTGCAAGCTTATCCGCAGCAGCTTTCTCCTCAGCCTCACGCGCTTCGGCGGCCGCCTTCTCTTCAGCCTCCAATGCTTCAGCTTGAGCTCTCTCTTCCGCCTCCAGAGCTTCCGCCGCTGCCTTCTCCTCTGCTTCTCGCTGAGCTGCTTCTTCGGCTTCCTTGGCGGCTTTCTCTTCAGCACGGCGCTTCGCGTTCTCGGTGAGCTCGTCGAATCTCTTCTGATCGACCTTGGAACTCTTCTTCTTCTTTTTGCCGAGCTTGGCTGTGAGCGCGGCGAGCTCTTCCTCTTCATCTGCGATCTCTTTCGCCAAGGCGGCAGCAGCAGCAGCTGCCTCTTCTGCTTCTGCTGCCTCTGTTGCCTCCGCCGTGGCCTTGTCGTCTTCTTCAGCTTTTGCGTCGCTCCAAACATTTTCTTCGAGTTCTTGGCCGGACAAGCTCATATCCAGCGAAGGTGGCGTAGGTGCTGGAGGCGGGGACTTCTTCTTGCCCTTTTTCAAGCTTCCCCAACCCCAATCGTCGTCAAGTTTGTCACCCTTATGTTCTTCGACGGAATCAGGCTTGACACCGTAAAGGTGAGAACCATCCTCGATCTCGACGGGTGCATTTTTGCTGCTCTTCTTCTTGTCTTTCTTGGAGCTGCTGGAAAGACCCCATATATCATCGTTCTTGGGTTCCTCGATCGAGTCAGGCATCACGTTGTCACCAGTCTTATTTTTCTTACCCGGGCCTAGACTATCCCAGAAATCGTCACCGTCCGCGGCTTTGGGGGCTTCGGGAACAGCCGGCGGGAAATCGCTGTGATCCGCGTGATCCGAAAACTTGTCGACTTCAACTAGTGCGCTTGCCGAACCCTTAATCTTCTTCTTACCCCAGTCTAGCCAGCCCTCTGAGGTTTGTGGAGTCTCTACGGGCTCT